CTCTATCAGAGAATCATCTAGGGTTACTGTGAAAACAGCCTGCTTATTTGAGAAGATAGGTTTCRGAACTAGATCATTGCTATTCAGGTAGTCTTTAGGGTTACTGGTTCATGAAGAGWTGATTACATAAGTTCTACAGAAATTTGACGCTGTTGTGACATCCAAACACACGATCAGTGGACTTCTTACTGAACAGGATTTGAAACAAAACTTATCATTCTGTAATAGAGTGGCAATTTAAATAAAAAGTTATCCACCATGGATAGTTTCCGAAGCACTGTTGTATGGAATTCTAATTTTCTTTCTAACCACCGAACAACATGATTCCTGAATGCATTCRGGAGTACAATAAACACCAATTAATTTGATTTATAAAGGGCTTGATGAGATATTCATTGAACTAAAAGAGTAGTGACACTACTATTTAAAAATAGTCCTTTTATCTGTTCATCCCTTTATCAGGTCTTTGATTCAGTACATTTTCATTGTTGCCGATCATGTGTCTGTGAGTAAGAGCAGCCCAGTCCYTGCCTTATGAGGTAATGAGGCTTTCGCAATGTGGAATGCTTAASTTTGCAATGCAGGGAGGGCAGGCTGCTCAGGGGGCATCAGGGAGGAGCAGCAGGCTTGAGAGGTCAGAAGAGTCTCTAAGTCTAAAACTAAGGAGTTGTTGGAAAGCTAATAATTCACAAATGGTAAAAATAACTCAGTTCACTCCTTACAGATTATGACACAGATCTTTTTTGACTGCTTAYGCTGTGCTCCTATGATGCTATGTACTATTCTGTATATGAGGGTACACTTGTGGGTGAAACAGACAGTCTCTGTCATGACCTAGTTCAAGGAGACCCATGCACCGCCGAGAGGGTGCCAATGTGGATGAACCCCCCTGGGGACATGAAGCAGGGTCCGTGGTGAGTCTGAGTGTGCACGGAGGAACATGTTGCTGAAGTTCATCAGAGGGGCCGAATCTTAGGAGGGACCCTGAGCTCAAATTCAGAGGACCTAGGGGACAGCTGAGAACATGGGAAGGGATGAGCAAGCACAAGTATGAAGGTTGGCATGTCCCTGGGTACAAACTGCCCCTGTCCATTCTGTGCTGGGATAGCAGAACAGCACAGACCAGGTCATACATAAAGAAGAGAAAGTTAGTTTCTCACGGTTCTGAAGCCTAGGAAGTCCAAGTTCAAGGTGCCATTCTGGTGAAGGCCCATTCTTTTACTTTTCCAAGATGATGCCTTGAATCCATCATGGGCTCTGTTCTTGACATGGCAGGGGAGAGGAAGGGCAGAGAGAGGAAGAGCCACTCTAGAATCCCCTTTTCAAAGGCACTAAACCCACCTCTCCTAGGTCCCACCTCTTAACTCTGTTAGAGTGGCAATTAAATTTCCACATGGGTCTTGGAGGGAACAAATGTTCAGCCATAGCAGTTGCCATGTTTGTGGCCTCATGTTTCTCCCTAGAAAGTCAGCATGGCTGAAGTGGAGTAAGAAACAGGGAGAGGACAGGGGAGACCAGAGAGGTGGAAGTCAGGATAAGAAGCCAAGTACTGTAAAAGGGCCTAGAGAGACTGTGAACCTCAGAAGAGTATGATCTGATTTACACAGAAAGAATCCTTTGGATCCTTGCTAGAAAGGAGCAAGGATAGTAACAATGAGATGAGAGGGTGCTTTGGCAATATCCAGTGAGAGAAAATGGCAGCCTGGATTGGGGCGATGGCAGTGGGGAGCAGGGAATGCAGGCTAGTTTTGCTGGTTGGACTGAATGTAGGAGGTGGAGGAAAGAGAAGGATCCAGAATGGCCTCTGAACTTCTGCCTAGAGTATCCAGGTGGTGTGGTGCCATTTTCTGTAATGGCGAGCATTAAGTACTTTTGGTGCTGGGAGCGGGCGTCAGAGTTCTGTTTGGAACTTGTTATATTTGGGGTGCCTATTAGACATCCCGATGGTGACTTTGCAAATCCAGGCAGTCAGGGAAGGCCTAGGGCTGGACATATAAATTTAAAATTATGGATGGTATGTAAAGCCTTGAGATTGCAAGAGATGGGTAAGGAGAGGGGCTAGACAGAGAAGAGGGTGCAGGGCTAATTCTGCTGGTAGGCCCCAGGGTGTTCTAGCACCTGGACCGCCCAAGCCCAGGAGGAGGGAAACTGACTCAGTATTTGAGAGCCACTGCAGTAGGTTCCATTCAGCTTGTACCCACAGCAAAGTTTCTTACACTCCCATCATCCACAGCTCTTTCCCATAGAGTCTGTGAGCATCGTGGACAATATGGGCTCTCTGCCCAGAGATTCTCTGTGATCTCTTGTGACTGTTAGCCTGTCCCAGGTATTGGCTCTATTGTTCTCTTGCTTCTTATAGGTAGTTCCTAGGGCTCGTGATTTAAAGGACATTCCACAAGCCACTTGCTCTTTTTAGCTCTRCATAGGTATGCCTGGGGTGAAGGTGTACCCCTAGACAGGCATGCCTTGGGCCCTCCTCTAAGGGTTTGTAACCCATAACTGAAGGCTGTTAGGGATATGAACACTGGGCTCCTTTCTCTCAGGTCTAGATAACACAGGAACATAGTTTTAACTCTCTAGCTCCTCTGTGACATGAGCCTGAAGCTACCCCCTGGGACTTTTTGCTTTTGTACCCCTGCCCCRCTAACATGTTATTGGCCTCTGGGTGACTTAATTGCCCTTCCTTTCCCTTTTACCCATTCTGGATTATAAATGTGAATATAGTGTCATCCTTTTAAAAAAATTTAAAATGGAATTTAATTAAATATTTTAAAGCATTCCCAACTTCTGAAAAAAAAAGTGTTTGTTTTTTTTTTTTGGGGGGGGGCGGGAATAGTTTCCATTTTAGCAGCCATCAAGTGGAAAGGATTTTGCTTTTGATCCTAAAGGCAATTGTCTGTTTCTACTGATTCTGGTGAATTTGTTTCTTGTTTAATTAAGTGAAACATTTTCCAGAGAGTTATCTGTATTCACTCTTCCAGCTCACAGAGTACTTGCAAATCTCAAAGAGATAAAACGATTAGGTGATTATTTCCTGTTCACACACCCAGTCAATAAAATTATGGAGATTAAGCAAGAATAAGACAGGATGTTTAACAGGGTTTGATAGTGGTAAACGTGAGCTCCCTCCAATGGGAGGCCGTGAGCTTCCCACACCTTCTCAAGCACACAGTGTCGCGTCCTCCATTTCCAACTCCTCAAACAGCCTGTAGCTGTGGGCTGAGCAGGAACCGGAAGCCCAATAGCAGCTGGTGTATCCTGGTGCCATTTTCTTTCTTTCCTTGAGGAAAAACCAAAATTAGATTCTACTCATTTTGACTGGATGTCCATTGATTTTAAGAYTTTGGGGGGACACTTTCATATCTACATACAAAAACCACTGGGGTCTTTCGCTTTTAAACATCAATTGACAGATTCTCTCCATTTTCCTCACTGTCTGCCCTCCCTCTTCCTTTCRTTTCTTCCCTCTTTCTTTAAGGATAAAGAAGACGCTAAATCAAATTTCTACTTGAACTACTCACGAAACGTGTCCTGGAGTTCATAAGTGGGGTTTTTCTTTTGCTAGTGATAGACTTGCATACCTGTGATAGCCTCTTTTACCTTTAGCAGCCTCAGCCTGAAGTTAGGCATAGTAAATATTCAATAAGTATTTGTTGAATGAATGGGTCTGTGGTTTTATATCCTTGGCACAATCTTAAAATATCAATACTGTGCTTTGTTTTGCACCAGTGATGAGAATCTTGGTTCCCAACTCCTTTTAATTCTGGTTAAAGATTTGTCACAAGTATGACTACATTGGGGAAATCCTTTTTAAATCCTTAAAGTGTCTTTGTGCATTTCAGAAAATTAAATTTCACTAGATTCTGTTGCAGCGAAACACCCATTGGCACATTGCTTTGCTTCTAAATACCTCTGAAACACTTGGAGTTTGACCATAGATTTCACAATACATTGAGGCATGCAATTATAAGACAATAATACATGCTTTTTCATGCCTGAACAACACATCGAAGTTAAACTGTGGCATTGAAACACAACTGAAATTTTTTTTTTTTTGCATTTAATTGAATGAAACCAACATAATATCGAGTTTGGTATTTTGCTATATCATAAGAAGTATTGTATCTTTAGATTTCTATTCTGGAAATGAAAACAATTGACCATAGAAATTAGTTAAAAAGGAAAAAAAAGCAAATTGTTCTCTGTTGATGAATGCATACTTACTTTTGGAGTGGGGAGAAGTAATATTAAAATTAATACTAGGGAAAGTGACCATGACCATCATAAAAAAGCTTGATTCAGAAGGTTGAAATGGCTATTGGACTGTCTTTCTAGGCTGGCCAGCCTCTCTGCCAGATGCTTGGGTGAGTGTAGGACTGGCCCAGGCTTTCCAGAAGGGCGTGTGAAGCTCTTCAGGTAACTTTAGGAATTTTGGAAATACACCAGGTTTCTGAATGTGACTCTTGACTCTGAGCGGTTATTTATGAGTGGGTGGGACTTTCTCTGAGACTATTAGGGACATGACCCATGATGACAAAGGAACCCTATGATGGGCAGCATATAATTAAGGATTCTTGTTGAGAAAGGCAAGTGAGACAGCATAAAAGCATCGATTGAGCTTTAGGTATTTGTTCAAAGGCRTACATTTTGGAAACCCAGAGTGGTCATACGTTTTCTGACATGCAGAACAACACCTGTGGTGCACTAGGTCAGAATCCTTGAAATCAAGAACACCCAGAAAAAAACAGGCTCAGGGGGCCACTATAACCTATGCCCTAAATATATCCAAAGCTCTTTGAAGAGAGAGGGTATCCATATGAACACTTTTGTTCTTGTATTAGAAATAGATATGAGTGTTTGCATGTTAAAATAGATGTTGTAAGTGAATCTTGTCTGTATTAAACGAGAACGTTCTGATTCACCCAAACCAACTCACATTTTTCCCTCCGTTTTACTTTGAAAGGAATGCGATGTTAATTCTGGGGCATTGATGGTTTACAATGCCTGATCCAGACAAAAAGGTGAAGACCACAGAAAAGTCAACTGATAAAAAACAGCAAGGAGTCGCCAGCAGGTAACCCCATATGCTCTTTACTAATTATTAACCGAGGCAGTGACTATTGAGCAGATTGAATAGCTTTCTGAGAAATAGTGTAGACTCCTAACAACTGCTATTGCGGTTACAGTGCCCACTGAAACATTTGACCCTTTGTSGAGTTCCAAGGGAAAAATGGTGGGTGTGTCCAAGTTGGTCTATAAAGCAGGCCTGCAAGTAGCAGTGTCACCAGTGGGTAATATGACCCCATTCACCTGGTGCTTTCTGTTGGTTGACGTTATGGTATTTTCTCTCCTAGGGACTATTCAGATCTTAAAAGACTCCGGTGCCTTTTGAACGTTCAATCAAGCAAACAACAGGTAGTTTTTTTTTTTTTTTTTTCCAAAGAATGTGCATGATTTAATAAAAGAGAATCAGGTGTTTCCAAAGGGATCCATTTAACATCTTTACAAGCACGATATGTCCAGTTTCTTTGTTCTTCTCGTGTCTTCTCTTGCTTCATCTGGCTGTTTCTCTCATTCCTGGTTCAGGCCCTGCCAAGACTTGGCATCCACAGCTTTTTCATCCTCCTCTCCTGCGGGCGCCTTGTCTTTCTCCTCTGCTCATCCCCACGGATCCTCTCGGGCAAAGCTTTTACTCTTCACTCTATAATCAGCAAACTCTTTTATCGAATGCCCAAATCGGCCTCTTCAGAGCTTCATGGAAATTGGTTTTTCCAAAGCACGGTTACCTCGTKCTCCTCCTCCTCCTCCTCCCTCTGCTCCTGCCCTTGCTGTTAATGGTGCAGCTCTTGGGGCTTGGGGCTAATCATATCCCACCAAAAAGGAGAGAGGAGTGAGCTTTGGTTATTTTGAACAGCAAAGGAAGGAATGGTACTCCCACTTTAATTTATCTTGAAACTTTTCTTTTTGGTTTTGCTTCTATGAAGACTTTGGAAAGTCATTAGATATTAGAAGCTGTTCAAGGAGGTTTGGGAACAATGTAGCAATGCTAATAACAACAATTACAGCTATGTAGCGTTCACAACTACAGCTATGTAGCGTTCACAACTAGGAAATGGCAGGGATGGAACTTCAACCCTCGTCTTCTGGCTCCAAAGTCTATTAAATTATAATTGTTTAGGTTAGTTTTGTTTAAGAGCCCATGTGGTTAATAATGCCAACCTTAAGGGTTTTTGTTTCATCAAGCAAACTTATCAGAGAACTATAGCATTTTTATGTATCTATTTATACTATAGACTGATTTTCTAATGATTTGATGGCATATGAAGGCCGAATAATGATATAGTTAGGGAACACTTACTATGTACCTGTGCTCTACCTGCATGATCTTGCTTAATAATTTACAAATGCCCTTTATACAGATGAGGAAACTAAGGCACAGAGACATTAAATGATTTCCAAAGGTCATAGTTCTGGACCCAGGCACTCCCATTTTGCAACACGTGTCTCTAACCATTGAGATATCTTTTATTTATTTATTTATTTATTTATTTTTGAGTTTTAATTGTTTAGTTTTCTTTTTTTATTATTTTGGCGGACACAACATCTTTGTTTGTATGTGGTGCTGAGGATCGAACCCAGGCCACACGCATGCCAGGCGAGCGCGCTATTGCTTGAGCCACATCCCCAGCCCTGAGATATCTTTTAAATGTGTTGGAAAATAAAATTATAGTTAAAAGAAATTGTTGAATGAGCATCGATTTGCAGTAAAAAAAAAAAATACCTTTCCTCTGTGAGCCCATTCTTCTCTGTTATTAATGCTACAGCCCTGGGGAAAAACTTTCTTCTTGTGTACCTATTTCAGCAGTCACTCTGCCCTCTGTCTGTTTCTGTACTGCCAAAATAATCTTCCTGGCTCTCTGCTCACAAACCCATGCTTCCTTGGAGAGAATTTTAAGACTTTGGTGGGACATTTTTGTTTTGGTTGCTCTCATTGATTCTCATTGATTTTTGTTTTGGTTGCTCTCATTGATTGTGCTTTCTGCGATGTAATCCTAATACCGAACACTTCTATTCTTTGTTTTTTACTATTCTCTTCTCCCAGATTTCTTCCCTATGAGTTCTAACCTATTTCCCAAACCCACATCTCATGATACCACCTCCGCATATCATCTGCCATGCCCAAAGTGACCACTCTCTTCCCAAGGCAGCTCTCTCACCAGCAAAGCATTATTTTTCCTCTCACTTTGGAAAGTCTTGTCCACGTATCTTATTTCCTAACAAGATGGACATTTCCCAGTGCCAGCAACATTGACTTCTCTCTCTGGTTCACTGTATCCTCTAATTCAGTGAGTTTGGGGTTATTATTTTTTTTTCCTAACTGAATTGTGACACCCCATGAATATATACAAGCCCCTGATCCAGGCAAAAGAAATATGATGGTGGTGTCTTGGTTCTTGTTGGTTTTTTAGCTCAAAGGATGAACTTTGAAGTTCATCCTTAATAGTTCTATTTTGTCCCCGTTCTACACTTCCTTCTTGACCCCTGGAAGGCTTAATTAAAGTTAATTTAATGATTTMTCCCTTGTAGCCAACTTTGGAATTGGCCATCCGTTGTCTGACATGTTCGCATGGCATATCTTTTTGTTAAATATTTCACACAAACAGGAATGCATATTTGTAATGCTTGAATTATTCAGAAAGTAGATAGCTCTAAGGAAAACAAAATGAAAATAACTGTCTTCAATTGGATGAAGGTTCCCAAGGCTCACAAGATTTATGCCTAATTCTGTTTATAAAACTTTCACACATTTGTAATTCTGAACTAATAAGTGTTATTCTGAGTACTTATTCTTATTTCATAAAATAGTGTGGAGAGATTTATAGGAGAAGGAATATTCTGGAGAAGGTAACTCGAGAATTTATTTATACCTTTGCTTGTTCCAGAAAGAATGTAAGGAGTCTGTAAGTGTTGGGAGTGGCCCCGGCTCCAAAGACTAACTCCCCCATCCCCCAAGAAGAGCTGTCCAATGGTGAGCCCTGCTGGCTCACATGATCCTGCCGTCCAATATGCATGAAGTATGATGGGTTCCCCTAAATCAAATTAAAAACAGGACCAACAATAAAAGTAAAACAAGGGCTGGGTGCACAGTAGAGTTGGGATAAGGCAGAAATGCCCAATAAAATATGTGAGTAGTTCTCAAATTTGGCTCTGAGATTTTTAGCAGTCAATTTGGAAAGGAAATTTGAGATTAAGTCCCATTCACCTGAATTTATGCTGTAATAAGATATGATATGGCCTGGTTTTTTTTTTCCCCCTTTCTTTCTTTTTGCAAATGGGTCAAGATGACCAATTGCTGGTTACAGAGGAAATCTACCCTGTGGGTTMAGGCAGAGTTGTAGAGAACTGAATGCTTCTCTAGCTGGATCTCTGATGAGCCAGGCCATGTCCCTCATTGTTTCGTTGTGTTATGGGGCTCTGCCTTTGCTCTTTGTCCTGACTGTGTGCTCCCTGTGTCTGCAGAGCTTGCTCTCCACGTTAGCTACACAGGTACCTTCCAGCTGAGCATGCATTCGCTGTTCTTTTCTACCTTCCCTTCTGGTCCATGGTGCCTGAGCTTCCTCCTTTATTTTCCACCTCGACAAACCCCTGTTCACTAATTCTGCAGTGTGTCTCTCAAGCCTGCTTACTGTCTGCAATTTCCCACCACCTGGGGGACTATAAGGTCCTTGATGGCAGAGGCCATGGCTGTTCTGATGACTGTATATCCAGATTCTCATACAATGTCTGGCACACCATGTGTCTGCAACAAGTGTGCTGATTGGGTGAACTCATCTGGAGGTGGTTTCAGATGAGTTCGTTGTCTGGGAATGAAATGAGCATTCATTCAGCCTCTTCCTATTTGAGTATCTACTATATGCCAGGCTTTGTTAGAGGTGATGCTCCCTACAGGGTGGCTGAATTCAAAGCCAGAACGCTGATTTGTAAACTGGACATTGTACTAGACTGTGATAAGTGTTGTAAGAGGAGAGGTAAGCTCTCCCCAGGAAGGCATGGATAAGTGCTCACCAGGAGGCTGTTTGAACTGAGCCCTGGAACGTGATCAGTTACAGGCTGCACATGTCCAGGCATGGAGAGGTCAGATACCCACAGGTCAGATAACCAGCAGGTCTGAGGCATTGAGGAGCCAAGGGAACATGCTCCAGGGATCTGAACTCACATTGCTTTCATCTGAAGTGGATGGGTTGTTTCAAGGTTCCTATTGTTAAGCTGTGGTCTTTCCAGGACGGAGGGAGGTAAGAGAGGGTCATAGAAAGGGTGAATATCATCAAAGCACATTATATGCATGTATGGAAATGTCACAATGAAACCCATTAATTTGTACAATTGATATGTGCTAGTATTAACAATAGCATTGAGTTCCGGGTTCGACAAAAAAGTGTAAGTTGCACCTATGGATGCCAAGTTCATCTTATCCACTGGAGCTCCATGAGTTGATTCCCAACCCTGGCTGCCTGCTTTGCCCACCAGGGTGATGACCGCTGGACATGGAAACTTTCTGCCTTCTCCTTTGGTGGCTTGAGTTTGCTTTCTCTGTCTTGGCTACTTTTCTCTCTTGCAAACAGTATTCTAGGAATCGTGCCAGTGGCAAGGGGATCTGAAATTCCTTGGACCTGGAAAACCTGCTTCCTATTTTCTCTCTGTTGTAACATTTCGTGTTAACACAGGAAAATTTGCTTGTTGCTGTGGCTTTGTGTCTAATATCATTTGGGTCATCAGTTCAGATCTGAAAAATCACCTAATGAAGCATTTGATTTATTTGGCAAATTCATCTGAACAATGGGAATAATTATGAGGATTGAAAGAGTATTGGCAAAGAGGTAGAAGTATACCTGGCACATAGCAAGTGCCTTATAAATAGTAATTCATTTAACTTTCACGATGACTCTGACATACAAACATACTACTTGTGCTACTAGTACTACTACTATTTTTAATATATATATTTTTTTAAAAAATATCTTTATTTAATATTTATTTTTATGTGGTGTTAAGGATCAAACCCAGAGCCTCACACATGCAAGGCAAAAGCTCTATCATGGAGCCCCAGCCCCAGTCCTATGTCTACTATTATCATTTCTATTTTAATGATGTAAAAACTAAGGCGCAGAGAGATTAAGAAAATTTCCCCAAATCATACAGCTAGCTCATGGTGGATTGACTCCCACAGAGCTGATCAGAGAGTTTGTTCTCCTAACCACTAAACAGCGCTGCCTCCGGTGTCCATGGCCTATTGTAGTTTCACTGACTGAACTGAAATAGAAAGGTAATTTTTACCTGATGAAATGTTTGATATGTTTGTGTGTGTCGCGCCAGGGATTGAACCCAGAGCTTCTTGAATGATAAGAAAGTGCCCTACCACTGAGCCACACTCTAGCCCTTTTTATTAATATTTTGAAAATTCAACCATGGTTGGTGTATGAGGAAGGATTTTTTTTTTTTTTTTTTGGTGAGCTATAAAACAATGTCCTTTTTAGAATGTATTTTTTCTAGAGAAACTATTTGAATACTGATAACTTGACAACTTATTATATGAGTCACTCTCCAGTTCATTCGGTAAATGGAGACATGCTGTTGTGGTTAATGTAAACAGATTTTCTTTCTTTTTCTTTTCTACTAGGTTTTTAACCCAGGGTGCTTTACCACGGATACAGGGTCTTGCTAAGTTGCTGAGGCTGGCTTTGAATTTGCAATCCTCCTGCCTCAGCCTCCTAAGTGGCTGGATGTCCCTGCACCTGGCTAAATTTTATTTTTCTTATGATGAACTTTTATAAGTATTTTAATGTCTTTCATAAATACTGTTGGATGTTCAGACTGATTAAAAGTGATAGATTCTCACTTATCAACATATCCCCACTACCTGGTAAGCGGTGTGTATACTTGGCTAATGTGGAAGATGGAATGCGTATGTGATGTCTGCTTCTCAGTCTGGGCACATCACACTATGCCAGAGTGATCTCCCTGGACCCAGAAACTCTCCAGGTCCACAGCTAAAACACACAAGAAGCTTCAAAATCCCCTGATGCCTAGGCCTCATCTCAGACCTGTGTCCCCAGCATTGCACCAAGTGCTGGGTAAACAGCATTGAACCAAAATGGACAAGTTTCCTGATATTATAAGCAAGGGAATGCCAGGGGTGGTAGTTTATGCCTGTAATCCCAGAAGCTCAGGAGGCTGAGGAAGGAGGATCACGAGTTCAAAGTCAGCCTGAGCAATGGTGAGGCGCTAAGCAACTCATTGAGACCCTGTTTCTAAATAAAACACAAAATTGAGCTGGGGATGTGCTACAGTGGTTGAGCACCCCTGAGTTCAATCCCTGGCATCCTCCCCGCCCCTACCTCTGCCCCTCAAAAAAAAGATAAGCAAAGGAGACTGAAAATAATAAGTCACCATAAGATATGACAAGTAGTATTGTCAGCTATGAATTAAAAATAGTGTAAGGTAGAGAGTAAATGTTTTAAGTCAAAGATGCTCAACTCTCAGAAAACACCTCCAGTTAACAGGGCTGTCATCTTACTTATTGACCTGGAAAATCCTTGTGCTCTTTGGCCTCCCCTCTGCCTCCCCCCATTTTGTTACTTTCTTTATCCTGTGCTGAATTGTGATCCTCACGCACGTACTCTGTGCTTCTATTTCTGTAGCTTCCAGCCATTAACTTTGATAGTGCCCAAAATAGCATGACGAAGTCTGACCCCGCCATCAAGGCGGGTGGACACAGAGCTCGAGGTCAGTGGCACGAGTCCACAGAAGCTGTTGAACTTGAAAATTTTAGGTAAGAAATCTCCTGTGCCTCCAGCAACCTGTTCTCCATAGCTTCTTAATGTGTATGACAGGAGCTACCATTTAAAATCTGTTTTCAAAATTTCCCATGGAGATCCTCGGTTTAATCTTTTTAGTTAAAAGCTTCAACCATTCCCAGCAATAATGCATAAATAACAGGCTTAATGGTCACAGGTGGAACTGACCTGGGACTTTCAGGACACTGTGCTGACTTACAGTTGGCATTTGCTCAACGAGGAAGTGGTTCCAGGTTGTGACCTGGCCAGGCGGATTCTGAGCTTTGCTGAGTCTTTAGTCAATCTACATCTTTCCAGTAATGAGAAGAAATAAAAGAATCAGTTGCTGTGAACAGATGTGGTGGCTAAAAAAAAAATGTGGTAGTCAAAGCAACCAGGTTTTCAGTTGCAGGGAGAGCACCTCACCTGCAACACTGCAAGTGTCAGCCTGTGTTGATTTCTGTTGCCATGTAGACCTCCGGGAAGCTGTGCATTCTCATGGGCCACTCCCCTTCCAGGAGCTGGTTCTCTCAGTTCTACAATGTGCTTAGGTCATTTGGCACTAAGTGCCATGTAAATAATGAATGGCATGAAATATTGACATGAATATTCTAGAATGACCATGTATTTATTGGGCCTCGATTGTTTTTCCTATCACTCCATGAATTTAATGAGTCCAATAATCCGCATGACATGACATGGGTTCATAGTTTTAAAATATGTCTTCAGTGAGGAACAATAAATGGTTATTGTTACTTATCCAGTTTGCCCGTGTCCGTGTACTAAGAAATCAGGACAGCCCTCCCCTGGCCAGGGTGGGGACTTACGTGCAGGCTAATGACATCTAAAAGGCTTCAAAGGCAGATGGTTACAAATGATGACACAAGGTTATAGAACTTGCCTTCAAGAGGGTATATTCATGTAATTCCAGCTTATTTGGCCTAGATCTCAAAACTAGCCTATTTTAAGATGCACCAAAATATTACACATACCACAGCAACGTGACCCTTATGTGCATTGTCTTTTATCCTCTTCTAGGATTAAAGTGGAATGCGATGAGGCTATTTTTAACCTCTTTGATAGGCTCTTACATCAGCAAAAAGAACCTGGAATCTGAATATTTCCAAAGTTGTATTAAAAACACATATACATGAAACATAAACAATAACAATCAAGCAGTCACTATGGCTGATGGAGTGTAGACTGTTAATAAACTCCTGTTATCTACAAAGAAATACTTGTGACCACCATTGGTATTGACGGCTAAAGTGCCTGGTGCAATCCATCTAGATAATGGCCCCAGACATTTTTTTTTTCTCTCCATATTCCATTTTTTCCCCTCTGACCAATTTTAGCTGTTAAGTGTTTGTAAGGAACAATTTAATTAATATGGTAAGATGAAAGGCATATGCTTGACTATATTCTTCATCGTTAATTTTACAATTGAATTTCTAGTTCCTATCTTGCCTTTAGCAGGGTTAAACCTCAAGAATCCTTCAATAGTTGCCTTGAGTATACAAGGTATTTGTGTTGCATTGGTAACTTTTTGAGACATCCTAAGTAATTTTTATTTCAAAATGCTCTTCTGTTTGTTTCATCTCAGTATAAACTACAAGAATGAAAGGAATTTCAGCAAACATCCCCAGCATGTGTTATTTCAGGAGATCTTTACAGCCTTGGTGAAAAATAGACTCATATGCAGGTAAGACTGTCCTTGGAAAGGTAGACTGTTACCCAAGAAAGGCATATTTCATATATCTTATACACAGAATGTGATTTGAAGCAACTTACAAGAACATGTAATAAGAGGATGAAATAGAGCAAAGGCCATTGAGAAAGAGGCAAATAAGTAGGTGTTGCATTTAATCTCATTAATATCACTCTGGTTATGTCCTGAATCTAGCTGAGTTTGGTGACAGGTAAGGTAAAGTGGGAAGACACTCAAGTTACATTGTTTTCCTTAATTTCCTTATTTTGAATTGGGATACTCAAGGACATGTTGGGTTACGCCATGGATGACATCCTTCAGGTACACTTTTGCAGTTCATACAATGACTGATCAAAGGAACTGCCCCAGCCTTGACCTTGAAGAAAGAAAGGATGAGTGTGCAATATCCAGCCACAGCCCCCTGAAGACATTGCTTCTCAGGACCAAATCAAATGCTGTCCCCTTTGTTCTTAGACCTATCCTAACACAGGTGTGGCAACTGGGACGTAGAGGAAGGATCAGTTGATACATACTCTGGATTCTCTCTCATAAATATCAGGGCATTCAGGTAGCCTTCAGCTGGCCCTAGAGCTGTCAGGATTGAATTTTTTTTTATCATTCTGAGGTGCTTCACAGGAGAGCTGGTTATGCGGCTGATGCACATGAAGAAGGCTCCCAACATCCTGTCATGGTTGGACCTGCCCTTTAACCCTTCCCAGAAGATCCAGTAAAAATATGTTGATGAAGAAACTTAAATCTTCTTCAATGGGACTTTGAGATATCTGACTTCTGTCTTCGTGAGAAGGAGAAAAACTACTCCTATCATGAAAAATAAAAATAGGAGTATTAATAATTTAAGGCCTGGATCAAAATAACACTTTGACTTTGCCCCATGCAGTAGCTGATTTTAAGGAGAACGGTGTCCTGATGCATCCTCCATGGAGAGCCAGCTACTAAATATGTGACTAAGTGGTGGCCTCGTGACTTGATATTTTGGATGGGGTCATTTAGTGTTGCATATGAAATTACTGCAGAGTGACTGCCAAATGGATGGACTTTCCAAGGGATGTCCATAAACCATTTGTCAGGTCTGTACTTTGGGGGAAGGCAGTAGATGCAGAAATTGTTAGGGGAAATAATTGGGCAAGGGAGAGCATCCGCCAATTAAAAAAGATCCTAACCGTTCTGAAGTCAAGAGATGTCTTATTCTTAGTGATTAATGGGGCATGTTAGGTTGGATGGATTACTTTATTGTAATATGAGCAGTCCCTGGAAGTCTTCAAACTAGGAAGAGATAATTGTGAGTCTCTTTGCTTTCCTAGTACGAGAAGGAATTTAGGAATGTTGAACATCAAGAGCATCCTTTTATGTCATCCTTTGGCTGCTGAAAGATTGCTGTGTTCATTTCTGTTCTAAAAGAAGGATTGGATAAAAGATGGCTTAAGTACCAAGGTCTTCCATTGTCCCTCACCTCATGCAACCTTGCTAAGATGGCCAGGACCATCTTTTTAATTTTTTTTCCTTCCCCTCTAACTTTAGACTTACATCTCAGGGCTTTTTCTGATATGGCTTCCTATTTCCTTCCTTTGTGAACATCCAGTTTAGTATTGTATTCGTTTTGGATAGAAGGCTTAGATTTGATTAATCAAACAAACTGATGCTATCACAAATTACTGTCTGTAAGAAAAGGAAGAATGGTGAAGGAAGAAAGGGTGACTATATAAAGATGAATAGACGTGTGGTCTCTCTCTTCCCAGGGACTCAAAATCTACTCTGGTCAGAAATTGTCCACTACCCCAAAACAAGGGAAAATTGGTAAATATATACCATTTTTATTAAGCACTAAAGGCTGGATGAGATTGGGAGTGGAAACTTCAGTCCTCTGTCCAGTTCTGGTTCTGGACAAGACTGGGCATATTTAGGATGTTAACACTACACACAGTCTTCCCCTGAACTTATGACTGATTGGAAATATAGACTCCTCAGCACAATGTGACCCCCCCCCCCTTTCCAATCCTTCCCTCAATTTCTACCCAATTGATGGTGGTGGTGTTTCTCTTCTATTTCATTCTCCCCACCTACAGTCCTCCCCTCCCCTCCCCCACACCCATGGACCCTTCCTTTCTAGGTTCTTTTCCTCAGATTGACCAGTAATTACTCCCCCATTCTCAGAAATGAACCTGCCAAGTGGCATCTGAAACGAGACAGGACTTGTTAATCCAGAGTCAGATAAGGTAACAGTGCAAATGCCTCATGGTAAATCTGAAAGGGCAAGAGAAAGTCCCGCCCGTGAACCCGAGGTTGCGCAATGCCAGCTAGCTAGCCTCAATGCATGGCAGGACATGGGAAGAAATTTTCCTCTTCTAACCTTTCTTTCTGCCGTAACATCGTTTGTTTATAGTACAGCCTGTTATTAATAGATACGTTCACACTTTTCCCCTCTCATCTGCTTGAACAGGAAAATATAAAGGGTGCCTGGGCTCCAGGACCAGGTTGTTATGAGGTTGCACAGGGGAAGTAAAAGTTGTCACAACGTTGACATATTCTCTGTTCACTGGCCACTTAGAAAATTGACCTCTGTATGAATAGCTCTTCTATGTATCTCTTTCTCTGTGCTCTCTCTTCCTTGGTTTATTCTTTGCTGAAGGCAGATTCTGTGATACCAGGCAAATGCCATTTAACTTGTGAAGTGAACTTGCACATCTGGCTAAGGACGTAGGGTTTCGTGAAGTTATTGAAAGTGATGGTGCCTAACTGACGGAATCCGACAAGTGAGGCCCCGGCGGAGTTAGGTCACTTGACAATCAAAGAAGAGGGCAYTAATAAGGACGATGACAAGATGGGACATTAAGAATCTGTTTAAAATAACCAAGATTAGGAGAGGCCTTTTCGGTTTCTCTGTCTTTTGCTCTAAGCTTTACCACTTTAAATGTAGAGATGAAGAAAATTAGCTTTAAGAACCTAGGATCTCATGTAGTCCTTGAGCAAAAAATGATGCCTCCTCTTCTTGTAAGTGAACTTGGAGCAAAAGCCTAGTTCTTAAATTTTATTTCTCATAAATGTTATTTTTAGAGTCTGTCCTGCATTTAAAGTGCACACACACATGCATGTGCACACATGTGTGCAAAAAAACCTCAGTTTGGGGCTGGGGATATAGCTCAGTTTGTAGAGTGCTTTGCCTCACATGCACAAGGCACTGGGTTCAATCTCCAGCACCACATACACACACACACACACACACACACACACACACACACACACACAAATCAAAACAAAATAAAACAAAAAAAACCCCACTAAATTTTATAGAGGTGGGACGGACTTTGAAGAAATCCAGTCTATCTCATTGGGTAGATGAAGGAGCTGAGAATTTAAGTCCAAGATCCTAGGGCAAAATCTTGGCTGGTACTCTTTATTCCTATGCCTTTCTGATTCCCTGGTTTCTTTTTTTTTTCTGTGTAAACAATTTTAATTGTGTAGTTAATCATCAATAGCCACTCTTAATTAGAACATTTCTGTATAATGAAAAGTGTTCTAATTTGTGATACACTAATCAAAGCACATTTGAAAGAGTTTTTTTTTTTTTTTTTTTTAAGTTTGCACCAGGGAAAAGTATCCCTTTGGTAGTCATGTTCATGTTCATTCTTTACTACTACTTGCTGCTGCTTCTTACAAAACTCATCTACTTTGATGTCTAATAGGCATGAAATTAAAATGTTCCCACCTTCCCAGAAAAGAACTGCTTGTTCTTGGACCACCAGAGCCAGTTACAAACTTGGCCAAAGGAATAAATCACAGTTTGCTATCAGTATGCAAGCTTCTGAGAGACAGGCAGTGAGTGACAGTCACATTCCAGGAACTTGAGTTCCACAGCTGAAAAATCAAGAGATGTCTAAAGACCCTGGGAAAGTCCGCCTGTCACTCAACTCCCCATCAGTTCACTCAGAGAAGCTGAGCCTTCTATAGAAGGGCACTCTTCCTTTCTAAATGCATCCTGTGTTTCAACATATTGATTGGAAGACTCTTTCCTGGTTGGGCATCTCAACAATAACACCTAAATCAGGACTATTTGATTTTTCTCTTGACTCATGAGAAAACCTGAGCTTCAGTGCTCCCCACCTATCAACCTGGTCCATGTTGCCCATCATCTCTTGCTTGGACCATTGCAGTAGGCTAACTGGGTTCTCTGCCTTTGATGCTTGGCTCTCTTAAGACTCTTTTCTCAACAGTGCATCCAGAAATATCCTTTTAAAATCTATCAGATCATGTGAGTCTTCTGCTCAAGGCCTTTCAGTAACTTCCCAGAATAAAAAAAATTCCAAGTCCCAGCTCCCATTCTACGAGACCCTTCATGCTCTGGCCCCTGCATCTCTCTGACCTCAACTCTATTTTTGTTCACTCTGCTCCAGTCTCACCAACTTCCTTGCTATTCTTTGCACAATCTCCAGTGCGTCTGCCTCAGGGGCTGTGTATTTAACTGTTCTGCTCTTCTGAACAAAACTTTCACAAGGCTCTCTTCCTCAATGCAGATGCTAAACTTACCAGAGAACCCTCTCTTGAGTATCCTGAAATAGAACCCCCAGTACCTGATGCAACTTTAACCTTTGTTGTTCCTCCATTCACCACCCAACGCACATTCTTGTTTCTATTTGTTATTGGTCTTGGTGAGTGCAGCCACATGTCCTGGGCTGGACTCCTGGGCTATCACAGTGCTTGGCTGATAGCAGGTGAGTAAATAAATACACACAGGCTCCTTGACATCTTCATCAGTCATGCAGAAGGAGGGACCTAGAGTTCAATCCCTTCTGCTCAGAATCCTTGCGATTTCAGGGGCCGGGTGGTCCACTGGAGGGGTTTCTCATTGGGTGGAGCACATTCAGGGCTGGGTTTAGTGGAAAACACAGTGCAAGGACCAAGAGACCACTGAGAATTAGTGAAACAAGTCTGAGGATTCCTTAAGTAATCATCTGTGATGAAGTTCCTCCGACACATTC